CAATATCATATATTTTCTCAATGTCTCTTAGTGATCTTTTCTACTTCACAGTCTAAACAAGCAGGAGTCATTTGATTCAGAAATGTTTCTTGAAGGAAGGGGACGAGAAGAATGATTCTTCCATTTATGAAAGCGGTGAAGCGAAAAATGATTTAGCGACACTGGAGCAAGCAAAATGTTCACGTTCCCAACAGCGACTTCCTGGCGAGTTGCATGTGGTACGTTAGACTCTAAGGGTTTGACAAAAATTAAACTTTGCTTCGGTTTGCAGATCGTCGTTTCCTACGTTTTTATCTGCTCCTTCCTTTACTTAGGTATCTACTTCAAAAACTTTTTGTCTTTTCTGCTTTTTCAATATGCTCTTATTATGACGATTGTAATCGGTGTAATTTGAAGGATTATTCATTGGAATCAGTGTTAAACCCTCAAGTTCCTTCCACGGCGTTTCAAAGCATAAGCTCTAAAGTCCTTGCCGGTTTGCTTGGCTCCTTGTCTGAAAAAGAATTCAACAGGAAATTTATTTTAGTTGATTGTCGATACCCTTTTGAGTATGCTGGAGGACATATTAAGGTACACTGGGCGGATTTACTCACTAGATTTATCCACATTTTTGAAGATTTATTTGTTCAAAGTGTTTTTCATCTTTGAAAACACTTAAACACTGAAATTGAACGTGAAAGCAATTATTTAGGGCGCTGTTAATTTGCATAATCCTAATGATATTGGGAATGTTTTCTTTCCAAACGAAACGAAACGGTTCTCTGTCATTTCCAAAAAAATTCCAATATTTTACTGCGAATTTTCTCAGAAGCGTGGGCCAACAATGTTAGTTAGTTTTCCAACTTTTGAGCAAATAGCGGTTCTTAGTGTAGAATGGTTAATTTGTGAAACAGTCATTTCAGGGCTCATAGATTAAGAGCTTATGATCGTGCACGGAATGAGGCCCGTTACCCAGAAGTTGATTACGAAGAAATATATTTGCTCGATCGCGGATATAATAATTTTTTTAATGAGTTTCAGTGCCGGGTATGTCACATACTTCTCATGTAAACAAGTTCTGTTTTTTTTTTTTTTTTTGAAAATTGTAGCAATTTAGTGTTTCTGTGAACCAAGTGAGTACGTTAAAATGGTGGATTCCCGGCACTCAAAAGAGCTGCGGAAATATGTTCTACATCGAGCAAGAACTGCTAAATTACATCCGAAAAATCCTTCACAGTCGACATCGCAGCCTCGTAGATGTCGGCTCCGACGGACAAACTTCTTTTCAAGCAGGAGTTTTCCGTCACTTGATTTTTGTCTATCACCTACAGAAGTCAGCTTCTTTTTCCGCTTTTTTTAATCTACACTTTCGCTCTATTAGACTATTTTTTACCAAAAATTATTTTAGCAGAAGGAGAAGCGTGAAGCTGCTGGGGAATCAGAATCAGGGAGCAAATGACATTTTCTTGCTAAATAAGCTTTAAGAAGGTAACGCATCTCTGCTTAAATGGTGGAAATATTGTTTGAATATATTAGTTGTAAAATGTAAAACAAAAAAAGGATTCGCGAAATTATATATAAAAGTTTTGTGGTTTTGAGCGTGATATGATATTTTTTCAAGTTTTACTTATTAAAGCCATATTATTTTTATAAGATTTTGTGCATTTTTTTTTTGTTTGCTTTAAGTCATAACTCTTCGAATCGTGGTACGCTTTGTTTATTTAATTAGGAGGAGAGACAGCAGGTCACGCTCAATGCTCTTTGATATTTTGAAATATTTAACCTGTTCACTGCTTCACCTTTTTCTCTATTTAAGCGAGTTTTTTTCCCTTTCTTTAATTTCTTTATTGAATTGATTAATGAATTGATCAAGTACTCTCATTAATTTATGAATTGTACTTCATATATCACTATTAATTCTTTGTTCTTCCTTTCCAGTCTAAAGATTATTATTAAGTTTTTGTAATTTGGGTGCAAGAGGCTTACTGCTTGAATAGTAAAGTTCTATAGTATTTTAGAACCTTAGAATGAGTCAACCTCTGCCTTTTCAAAGGTTACTGTTTAACCAATGCTCAAAAATAATTTTGATGAGACACGATTTTTTGATTCAGGACATGTTGCGAATATAATAGATGAGTTATGGGGTGCACACTTTCGCCATGTAACGGTAATTCAGTCTCTTCAAAGTATCAGAAGTTTGCAAACCTTAGCAAAACTTTTTTTGCGTTGTTTAGTTTCGTTAGTAGTTTATTTTATTTTTTTTTTCAAAATGATCAAAACTCTTGCGCAGTTAGTGCGTTACATACGACATAGTAAGTTTCTTAATTTATCAACTCACGAGTGTGTTACATTTATCTTAGAAGGAGAGTTGTATTACTTTGTTCTTTCAACTAAATATTTGGTATGCGATCACCTCATCCAGACTCGTCACAAGACCCTCTTCTCTAGATAGCGTCACTAGTGTTGTATCAAAGCTAGGTTATTCAGAATGCAGTTTTTCTTTCGCCAAGTAGCGAGGGTTTTTAATCGGTTGGTTGTAGATTGTGCTACAGCTTTAGCTTATTTTTTTAAGAATTAAGTAATGCAACTTTGGTTAGGTCGAGATATGTCTTGACAAAATTGATTCTATCTGAAGTAACTGCCACTTGATTCTTATTATATTCATGTTGCTGAAGAGTTGCAGACTGGTAAGTTAAGTGCAACAGCCGGAGTTTTTGTTATTAAAGTGCTGTACTTGTACTACTTTTGGTCACACTAAATAATTGCCTTATAAGTATTACTAAGCTAGGAGCGGGCATTAATAAGTAAGCTAGCTTGTTAGATCTAGTTTCGAACCTCAGAAATCTAGTTTTTTTGGTTTTTGTTGATTATAAAGCGGATTTTCGCAGTTATGTGAAAGTAAATTAAGTTTTGTTGAATTAGCTAAACTTAAAGCAATTTAATCTTAAAACTCACAACAGCTGTAGGTTTTAGTTTTGAAAAAAGCTTAATCTTTTTTGAGACCAAAGACTAAATCTTTTTTTTTTTTTTGTTTGTGTGTGTGTGTATTTGTTTCTTGACAGGATAGTATTGGTTGGCATACAAATGAAATACACAAAAATTTTTTTCTATAGTGGGATGAGTTATCAGCATTACTATTGTAAACTGAATAATTAATTGATACGGTTAAACAGTGTTGGACAGCGAAAAAGGGAGGCGGGGAAGACTGTCCATTGGTTTGTTGATCTATTATGCTGCAAAAACTATATTTTCTAATGTAAAATCTGCCACTGGTAGTCTGCATTATTTTTGGCAGCATTGCAATTTTTTAGAAATCAAAAGAAAGTGTCAAGTTTGTTTTTTACACTCTAAAACAATATGAGGTGGACGGGTGGAGTTTTGCTTGGATGAATTGCGTTGGCAGTTGGACTGAGTATGTTGGTTGGTGTCTTATAAGTGTACTAAAGGGTTATTTGTTGATCTATAGTCATACAGTTGTGTAAACCTTAGAAAATACAGGTGTACCATGTCAGTTGTCAACATTTTTGATCATAATTGTACTATTTTTGAAAAAAAGGGAAAAGAACAAAGAGAAAAATTGATGGCAAACCATTCTCGTCTTTTTTTAGCCTTGAAACAAAAAGAAAAAACAGAATAAGTGTTTAGAGAATTTTAGATCCTGAAACTTTGGGCAAAAAATAAAAGTGACAGTTGAACAAACTTTTTGCATTAACTTTCGTTTAACAAGAAAGACCTGTCTACTGTTTATTAATGAAATAAATAATTGGGTAGAGGGGAGAGAGGGAGGTGGGAGGAAGGGAGGGCAAAAGGAGAAAGGAGTTGCTGTTCTATATTTTATGTTAGTAGTTCAAATAGTTGCTTAAATAAAGACTAAAAACAAATGCAAAACTATAGCATTTGTTCAGATTCCAATAAGCAGTTGTGGATGAATAAAATATTAGGTTTTAATAGGGTTCCTTTTTGTTTTTTTTGTTCTTTTTGTTCTTTTTGATTGCTTTAGACAATGGAAATAGTGATAGGCGAATGGTGTTGCTCCAATGAATAGACTGTACATACAGTTTGTCAAACATTTCTTAAATTCTTTATCTTGTTTGTTGGTCTGTTGATTTGTCTATTTCATTTAGGTATTTATTGTATATTTATTTATTTGTTCGATTGGATGATTAATGAAGTTCTTTAAAAAGTTTGAAAATTTATTTCTATATTAAGTGCTTTTGTTGTTTTTGTCTAATATTGCCCTGCATAATCCAAAACTGTATCTGAATTTTTTCTGTTGTTTTTATTTTTGGATTTTATTTATTATTATTTATCACTGAATGTATTTAATGACAACCATCTGAAGTGTGAACAATTGTCATTGATTAAAAAAAAAAATTAATGGGTTGTTGATGTGTTAATGCGTAGAAAAAGTAGTGGCAAAAGAAAATTTTTTTTAACCAAAAATGTGGCAAGAAAGAGATTTTTTGACGGATATTTCTGTTGGTATTTGTTGTAGAATTCTGTTAATTATATTTATCTATATATATACGCATATATTTAGCAATCATTAATTGAACCATCGTTCTGCCGGTATAGCAAAGACATCGCTTTAAAAAAAAAAAATTTTATAAGTTTTGATTAATACAGATTTCATTTTGATCTTCTTTTTTTTTTTCTGAGTGTACACTAAACTTTTGTTTTTTTTTTTTTTTCAGACAAATTATTATCAACCATTAACTTTTAAAATGTTCAATGCTGATTACTATAGTTGTTGTTGGGAGGAGTACACTGGGAAACCGATTTCAGTTTTTTTTCCCTCTCATCGTCGTCGCCACTTTTTCTCTTGTTCATTTCCCTCCTCACTACTTCTTCAGATTCTGAATAAAGTTGTTTATATACTCTTCTTCGTTTTTTTTTTTTTTAAATTTTACACATGTATAAGTGCTTTTTGGTTCTTTCTTTTTTTTTCTTCTACTTTTTGTTTTGTTTTATTTTAGTTTGCATTATCTTTTGATAATCATCAGTGTAACAAAATGTCAATTTTTTGGCTGTTTTTTTTTTCGTCTAGATTCTATTTTTGTAAAAACAATAAAAAACAGTGATATCTGTTTGATATTTTTGATCATTTCATCTGTTTTTTTTTCTCGTTTTCTTCAAGAAAACTTTTTTCAATATTAATTAGTGTAGAACTGTTGATTAGTAAAGGGTATTGGTAATCTGATTAGCTATGTAGCTAAAAGTGCACTATCAACGATTCTTGCTGGAATTTTTTGGGCTTTCTGAAAAATGAAGCTTAACAACTGAATCCGATAAGGTGGCAAGCAAAGGAAGCGGAAAGGCTGGAATGGTGGGGATAGGTAGAAGAACGACCGAAAACAAATGGCAGTTGAAATTTTTCACTAAACAATATTTGGTGAATAAAGTTGTTTGCAGGCGAACAGACTAATAAAATACTGCTGAAACGACGTTTTGCTAATAGAATTAAAAAAAGCTAGTTATTTATTTATTTATTTTTTGTTTAATGTGTCATACCAGCGAGGTAACGGTTAAAAGTTTGAAAATGTTCATGGAAAAATTTTTTTTCATTGTTTACAGTCTGTAGGTTGTTATAAATTTAATATGTTTTTTTTGTAATTTAGTTAGACCTATTTAACCAAGAATTCTTTTATCACTCAGTTAGTGGAGGCTTAACTGCATAAGCAATAGGTGACATTGAACAACTTTTTTTTTTTTTGATCTTTTAGTCAAACTGTAGGTAGTTCATTTTGAAATGGTCTGAGTCGTTTTGGTTTATCATTCAAAAATATCACCGATAAACAGAGTAGTAAGTCATCGACGGCAATTCACACTTCTTTTTCTTCAAGTGGAACAGCCTCTATATCAGAAAGGCGTAGTTTGTACAGTCATTTTGGATTTAAAAACTACAGTTCTGATTCTACTTAACAAAACCAATAAAAATGTCTTTAGTGTCAGATTTTTTCTCTTGTTATCAGTTAACATAGTCTGAAGTCTACGCTAATTTGTGTACATTCGTCTGGTTTTATGCTACATCTATATAAACTGACGAGTATGTATTGTTGCCGCTACTTCAACAATAATTCGTTATCTTCAGACCATCTATGAATATAAATATAAGTGTAAATAACTAAATAAATAAATATAAATTTGTAAGTATAAAAATATATATATTTATATATTTCTATATATATATATTCCTCTTTTTTTTAAATAAAGCATCTTAAGTTATTATTCATCATATCGGAGTTTAACATCAAATTTGCTGCTGCGGTATTTGTTTTCTTAGAACATTTCTCTAATTTTTTTTTTCTTTTTTTTATTACTCTTCTGCAAATTTTTTAATGCAAAAATAAACTGAAAATTTATTTTTGTCTGTTACAGTACAGCATCTGATTTGTTAATAAATGTTGGATAAATTATGATTTTCAGTGTTTTTTTATTGCAGAACAAAAAAAAAAAAAA